GGGGTGGGGTGGGGTGGGGCCCAGAGCATCCCGCCGCCCTGGCTTGCGGTCAGGGGGATGAAGCAGCGCTTGCATCTTCGGCACCCGTCAGCCTGTGCGCACCAACCCACGCAAGCAAGGGCTGAAATCTGAGTGAGCGTGCACGCGAGCAACCTCAGGCCGGGAGCTCGGCCTGCACATCATCCCCCGACCCGGCAGGCGGCCCTGGGGTGCTTACGGGTCCTTGCGCAGCGCCATCATGTTGCTCAGCACGCGGGCAGCTTCCCTGTCCAGCACTTGAGTCATCGTGGACGTCCCGAGCTGGGTCCTGTACAGGTTGTTGTAGAGGGCGAGGTTCTGCGCCTGTGTGCTGCAGTTGTAGTAGATCTCTGCGGCAGGTGGTGCACAAGGGGTGAATGACGAAGGTTAATTGCTTGTGCTTGCACGTGCGTGTAATTGTGTACATGACCGTGCGGGTAGAGCGGGTGGCACGCGCATGCTTGAATGCAGTCCCATGTTGCAAGCAGATACACACGTGCAAACTGTCAGGATTGGAGCCTGAACTGCAGCAATTCAGAGCAAACGGGTGCGCTGCAGCCCGTGCCCCGCCCACCTGTCGCGAAGCGTGGCAGCACGGCAAACCCGGCGAAGTTGCTGAGCGCCTGCGTCGTGTAGAGCATCTGGTGGGGCGCGGCCAGGTTGCGCAGGTGGGCCCAGGTGTTGTCGCCGGTGCCGCACTGGATGCCCTTGGACGTCAGCGCGGCGAGGGCGTCCCCGTTGACCAGCCCGCTGATCTCTGGTGTGACCATGCAGGCGCTGCTGTAAGACGGCCGCGCGGTCAGGCCCAGGCTGGCCTGTGGGGTGGAAAGGGGTCGCGGTCGTGATGGAGGTTCGGTTTGCGACATATCAGGAGTGCAGGCAAGGGCAGCGGAGTTTGACCAGCCTGTATCACCCCAACGCGTCTGCTTGGATCTTGCATTTTCTTGCCGCCTGAAGAAAGGTAAAGGTGTGCTGCAGGCGGGGCAGCGACGGCCCGCAACGCGTACTGATCAGTCTGTTGGCAATGCGGGCAGCTGTGCGGCGCCCTCGTCACCAACAAACGGATGCACCATCCATGTGCTCACCGCCATCTTCTGGTTCAGGTCTATTTGCTGCGTGGTGTCGTACTTGGTCGCATTGTCGAGGTTCTGGTGCGTGAACTACAGCAGGGAAATTTGTGGGGGCAATCAGTAAAGGTGAGTGCGCACCCCATCAGACAAGGGTCGCACGTGCAGCAGTGGCAGCAGCGCGGCAAGGGCGGCGAGGGCAGCAGGGTACATTGAGTCACAGCCCTCCACTACGTGCCGCCCTCAGGGAGGAGCCACACAGTGAGCTCACTGTGTGGTGGGACCACCAGAATTGCGTCGCGGCGCCATTGGTGTCATTCATGACCATGGCTGCAAGGGGGTCGGCCATCAGGTTGGCCGTCGTCCACTTTGTCAGGTCGGGTAGGGACTGCGCAGGATTGCCAGGGGTAGTTGCAGGGGCGGCCCGAATGTAAGCGAGAGCAGTACTTGCTGGCGTGTCGGGGAGAGCGCTGGGTACAACTTGCACGGGGCTCGGCCGCGCGGCGGTAGATGTGAGAATCGCGGATACACACTGTTTGCAGCGTTGCGATATTGCCGCGGCTTGTGGCGCAGGGCGCAGCAAGGGCCGCGTCTGAGTCACCCACCGTGACCTTGTTGATCCCAGCTGCCAGAGGTTTGGGCCAGTTCTTGGTGCACTGCCGGCAGAACTGAGGCGCCGTTGCGGGGCAGGAATCGTAGCCGCTCAGCCAGCAGCTGCAGTTCAGGGTGGTGTAGGTGGGGGTGGCGGTGCAGCCGTCGCCGTCCACAGCCAGGGGTGTCAGGGCGGTGATGTTATCCAGGATGCCGTTGCCGTTAAAGGGCATCTCCAGCCTGCATGTCAGAAGAGCAGCGAGGGCGGGGGTGCTGTGCCATCAGCCAGCGCAAGAGAAAAGGGTGTTATGAGGAGCTTTCTGCATGGCCGCCCTCCCAAGAGGCAAAGAGAGAGGAGAGTGCAGAGACTGGCATCAGGGCTGGGCGTGGACTGCTTGCACAAGCGCCATGGCAACCTGTGGTGCTTGGTGACATGCACTGCTGCTGCTGCTGCTGCTGCTGCTGCTGCTGCTGCTGCTGCTGCTGCTGCTGCTGCTGCTGCCCCAGCCGCTGCCATGGCTGCCGCATACCTGATGTCAGATCCGGCTGGCAGGGTGATGCCCGACACGGTGCCGGCCTTGAGGGCCGCCTGCCACGCGAGGTGGCGAGTGAGGTCCGCCGTTTTGACGCGGTACGGCTGGGCCACGCCGGTCTGCTCAGTCGTCAGGAACATGTCATCAATCTTTGGTTGAGGGGGGAATGATTGGGTTGCCGACAAGAGATGCAGGTGAGAAGCTTGGCAAAACTGTCAGGCGAGCTGACGACGGCCTGTGGGACCCCAAGTGTTCCCTCCGGTGCATGACAGGTGCATACGCAGTCTCAGTCGCCAGCGTACGCCGGTTTTGTGGGCCTCCGTGGGCAAAAACATGGCGCATTGCAGACGTGCTCCCAGGGCAGCCGCAGGCCGCGCCGCACCTGCACCGACAGCAGGGCGGCCCTCTCCCCGGGAATGACGTTACGCGCCATCCATGCCACCGCCATGTGGCCCAGCAGCATGCACGAGGGGCTCCACGCCGCACAGCTGTGCGTGAAGGCCATCGACTCGCGGCCGTCCTGGTACCTGGTAGGGCAAAGGTCGGCGGGGAGCGGCGACACCATAGGGACAGGTTGCAAGTTAAAAGGGGAGGGTGCAGCCTGATGAGCATGCTGCCTGAAAAGTCTGCGTGGGCGCCCAGAAAAGAGCTGCCGTTCCCAAGTGTTGGTGCACGGGGGGGTTGCGCTGACTCGCGCTCGCAGCAGGCGAGCCATGCAGGGGCACGTCGCGGCGGCCGGCGGCGGCAAGCAGTCCCGGCTCGACTCACTTGATGAGCCCCGCGACTGCGCCCGTGGTGCCCGCACTGACAATTGGCTTGACGGTGCAGTTGGGGTAGAGGCCACCCTCAAAGCCGGGCCCCCAGATTGGGCACGTGGCGCTCGGCGACACGGTTGAGGGGCACCTGCGGTGTCGGTTTCATTGTTCAGTGTTGACAAGACCAAAGATGCTCAAGATCACCTCCTCCCTCAGCCACCGTAGTACAGCCACCAAAGAGCTCACCCATCTGCCCGGGACAATCTAGCATAAGCAGACTACTATTGGTCAGCCGCCACCTCTAAAACGTCACTCGCCCGCGTCAGCCCAGTGTCCCTCACCTCCAGATGCCATCATATTGCGGCGACGCCGTGGCCTTCACGCCTGACACGCCCAGGGGCGCGTCCGCGGTGAGCGACAGCGCGCCGGCCGCCGAGCTGCAGGCCGTCGACGCGGGGGCCGCGAAGCCGGCGCTCATGTGGGATGCCCCAAATTTGACGCTGCGCGCGCCGGTGCGGCGCTGGAAGTCCCACACGGTGGCCACCTCGGACGCATTCATCAGGCCGTCACCCTCAAGGTTGGGGAACCTGGGGGTGGGGTGGGGGGATAGGGGGAAGGCATTACATGCTGCTGTGTTTGGGTGCTCGCATAAGCATGTGTGTGCATGCGCGTGTGTGTGCGGGGTAGGCGCGCATGCATTTGCAGAGGGGTGCCAACACAGATGCGAGCGCTGGTGCAGGTCAAGCGTGGTGTTGCTGGGGGTTTTGCGGTAGGGTGGAGGCAGCGCATGCATCAAGACCAGGTTTGTTGCTCAACAGCGCGGCGCGACAAACGCTTTGGTGCACGTGTGCCAAACTGCAGGCTAGATGAGTGAGCGGCAAGCAACAAGGGGCAGCAGGCACAGCAGCGCCCTGACGCACATGGCGAACGAGCTGTAGCGCGCCGAGCCGTCCGCGTCCCAAAGGGTCGTCATCAGGTTGGGGCGCGCCGCGTCGGCCGCGTCCCAGCGCAGGACGTCATACGGCACGCCGTAGCCAGTCAGCACGCCCTCCAAAAAGTCCACCTCGGCAAAGCCTGTGGGGGCGGTGGTTGAGGGGACGGTGATTCGGGGGTTTTGAATCACGGGGCGGCGTGCGAGTGAGGCGGCCACTGTCGGCGCCAGGCTGGGAGCCTCAGGCATCGCGTGGTGATTTTAGGCAGCTTGCGCCGTGCTGCACTGCTTAATGTGCGTTGGGTGCGCGGCCAGGGGCCATACATGCGGTGTGTCCCGGGGTGAGGCCACCAGGGGCCATGGATACTATGTGGGATGCCTGCTCACCGGGTGTTGTGAGGATCAGGATGCGGTGCTCCAGGAAGAGAGTGGCGGGCAGCGGCGTGGGGCTGGGGTTGGGGCTCGGCACCGGGGATGGCGACGGGCTGGGGGACGGGCTGGGGCTTGGGCTGGACGGCGGCGCGGCGCTGGGCGCGGGCACAGCGGTGTTGAGCATCCAGGCGAGCGCGACCCTGGCGGTGGTCCTGCAGGCCTCATTGGCGGCGCTGCAGTCGAAGTTGAAGGCCATCGCGTCGCGGCCGTCGGCGTGCCTGCGGGGGCGAGGGTCCGGGGCGGCGGCATGGGTGCTTGCGTCAGCGTGGATTTGATTGTGCATGCTGTGTGAGTGCCTCGTTGAGTGGGGACTATAGGCAGAGCAACGCAAACACGGCAAACGTGGTTGTGAAATTGCACATGCAGAATCCTGGCATCGGCGGCCGACCAGCCCGTGGCGCCGGCCGCGCTCACTTGATCTGCACGCCCACGATGCCCGGCGTGGCCGTCGCCACCGTCAGGACGGGGGTGGTGCTGCAGTTGGAGGGCACCAGCGTTGACGTGGGGCTGTGCCAGAGGTTGCACGTGTCCAGGGGCTGCGCGGCAACACCAGGGGCCCTGGGGTGGGTCAGAGTGTCGCAGGGGAGGTTGCATTGAGTTGGTCGGGACGAGAGCGGGGCTGGTTGGGAGGTGACGTGAGACACGGGCCTCGCGGCAGTTTGGCATGGCGTGGTTGGATTGCTGAGTGGCAAAACAACCCGGCGCACGCCCCCGGTCACAAAGTCCGGTCACCCTCCCCACAACGCGCCGCAACCCGCCCTGCCACGCCCCGCGGCCACTCACAGCCACAACCCGCCGTCCGCAAACGGCGCGCCGCCCGCCGCCCCGGCCGGCGCCGCGGCCGTCCACGAGAAGTTGAGGGTTAAGACACCGGTGGACGACGAGGCAGTGTACCCGATGGTGGGCATGTAGCAGCCAAACTTGACGCTCTTGACGCCGGTCTTGGCAGCGTAGTCCCAGATCACCGCGATCTCGGCGGGCGTGAGGCCGTCGCGCGACTCCAGCGGCGGGTACCTG